TGTTTTGGAGACAGAATTAAAGCCAACCTTTTATCTCTTAATGGTATTACATTTATAGCTTCCAATCACTCACATTGGAATCCTCAGTCCTATTTTATGCCTCTCAGTTTGAATGACTGAAAGCCATAAAGGAAGTACCATGAATAGAAGAGGTAATCAGTAAGAAAAGCAGGTTTAGAGGTTTAAGGAGGAGATATGAGGAGGGGTTAACATGGTACAATGGGAAAAACACTGGCTTTGAGGTCAGGAGACCTAGGTGCAAATCTCACCTTTTTTGCTTATTATTTATGTGCCCACAGGCAAGCACTAAAGATTCTTAAGTTACTTCACGTGTAAAATGAAGATAGATGGGACAGTGGGACTCAATTCCTAAAATCCCCTTAAAATGCTATATTTATGAACCTATGGCATAACTGAAAGGAAGGACATGTAGGTGGAGATGCCTGATCAATCATGGTTGAAGATAAAAGTTTGGGAGTCATATGTCATAGGGTTATAACTTAAGCTGTTGGGTAAATCAGTCACCGAGGCAGAGGGTTTAGAGGAGAAGACAAGAGAGAGAAAAGGATCAAGGCCTCTACTTTTAGGAAATCTTTACAGGAAGAAGAGCCAGGGGAGAAAATACACAATGTTAAAAGATCCCTAAAGTACCACACACATTCAACATGCTATCCATTGAAAAGTACACACGGAAGAATTAATTTGATAAGTGTAATGTAGTAGGGAGAACACTGATTGGCTTGGGAGGATACAGCTTTTCCATTAATTAGTTGTGTGATGTTGGCCTCAGGTTCTTCATCTGTTTTTTAAAAAAAATAGGTTGGATAACATTGATCTTTAAGGTTCCTTACAGCTCTGACATTCTGTGATTCTCTGAATATAAGAGGTTAAGGACTGGGCAGGAAGGGTTAGTATAGCTGCTATTAAGAAAACAATTAGGTTGTCCAGGTCCTTATTAGGACCAAAGAATCTGAGTTGCAGATTGTTAGTCCTTAAGAGGCAGAATTTATGGAAGTGAAAAAGACCTATGTAATATGTGTGAGATGGGAGAGAGGATTAACTTTAACCCTAACAATTCAGAAACTTCAGAATGAAAGAGCTGGGTCACCAAATTAGAATCTTTAAGAACAATCATATGGTTCATAAGAGTGGTATTTTAGGACTTGCTTAAAAGCCTAACAGAAAATTTGAGGAAAATGCAAGAGATAATCATTGTCATATCCCCTTAAATGGCTAACCTCACATATTGGTAGAGTTTCCTAAGAACTGATTTCCTCTTTCATCATTTACACCCACAGTCTCACTGATACTTGTTCCTCCTGACTGATATGCCCTAGCTCCTCCCTTTCCACAGTAAGTGACCTAGATGCTTCATTTGACAACAGTGCTGACCATAACATCTCTAAAGCCAGATGCTCCACGAGTGGCAGGATATGGATGCTACTTATTTTAAATAGTGATGGCTTCTCGTGTTTCTTCAGCACTCCTACCCAACTGACATGCAAAATTACATAGTTTTACATGCTTTTAGTCTGATTTCAATATTGAATATCTTTAGGTCCCTAATAAAATCAAGAAAAATCACTTTATATATTATACTTCAGTTTCCATTTACTCTTTTCTTCTCTGATAATCATACTCTTCTTTCCCCTCAGCACATATCCAATCTGGATTTTGGGACATGATCCCATCTACCATCTATTATTGAAATGGGGAGAAACATATTGAGAGAGAACTGCAACCCATGCAGACTGGAAGGGAAAGAGAAGCTTGAGATGCAAAGGCATCAATGCAAAATGGGAACAACACAGGACTTGGAGTCCAGAAAGACCTAAGCTTGCAAACAAGAGATATAGAAATTCATGGGAGGTAACACAGATAAAATTTTATTACTTAAAATTAAAAGCTTTTTGCAGAAACAAAACCAATGTAGCCAAAATCAGAAAAAAAGAAAGAAAATGGGGGGAAATCTTATAACAAGTTTCTCTGATAAATTATCAAATTTATAAGCCAAATTTATAAAAATAAATAGCCAAAAGATATGAATATGCAGTTTTCAGAGGAAGAGATCAAAGCTATCAAGTTACATAAAAAATTCTCTAAATCACTAATAATTTAAGAAATCAAATTAAAATACCTCTGAAATATTACCTCATGTATTAGATTGGCTAAGATGACAGAAAATGAAAATAATAAATGCTGAAGAATATATGGGAAAATAGGTACACTATTGTTGGTAGAGTTGTGAGCTAGTCCAATAATTCTGAAGAACAATTTGGAACTATGCCCAAAGGGCTATAAAACTGTGTATACTCTTTGGCATAGCAATACCATTACTAGTCTATGCCACAAAGAGATCAAAAAAGGGAAAGGATCTATATGTACAAAAATATTTATAGTGGTTCTTTTTATGGTGGCAATAAATTAGAAACTGAGGCGGCATCCATCAATTGGGGAATAACTGGACAAATTGTGGCATACGAATGTGATGTAATACTATTGTGCTATAAGAACTTACGAAAGGGATGGTGTCAGAAAAACCTGGGAAGACTTATATTAACTGAAGTAAAATGAATGAGCAGAACAAGGGGAACAATGTACACAGTAATAGTAACATTGTAAAGATAATCAGCTGTGAAAGACTGATTATTGCAATGTTCCACCATAACTCCAAAGTACTTAATGAAAAATGCTATCCACCTCCAGATAGAGAACTGATAGACTCAGAGTACACATTGAAACATATTTTTCCCTTTTTAAAATTTGTTTGTTTTTTTGGAACATGGCTAATGTAGAAATATCTTTTGCATGATTTCATATGTAGAATGGGTATCACAGCTTTATTCCTCAATAGGTAGAAGAGGAGAGAGGGAGTGAGGGAAAGAGAGATTGAAAATACAAAATATAAAAAAGAGAAAGACCTGGGGTTTGAATTGTACTTCTGACACTCCCTAAATATGTGATGTGATCATGGGCAAGTCACTCAATTTTCCTTTCCTTTCCTTTCAGTTTTCTCATCTGTAATATGAGCATAATACCAGCCATATATTCTGGTTGTGAGAATCAAACAGCCATCTATACAAAGCACAAAGCTACATATGTTAGCTATTTTTATTACCATTGCTTCTCCTAGGAATCTTAGAGAAAGATAATACAATCTATGTATGTAAACAAAACTGGGGTGGACTGACAAGAAAGTTCAGTAACTCCAAGGTTATCTGCTGCCTACAAGGAGAGACAAAAATGGGAATGCCTAGAAGAGACTAATGCTTTAAGCCTGTACCAAACCTAAAGCAACTTATCTAGCTCTTTGTACTTCCCCCTATCCAATCTCATTGGAGTTAACTGGATAAAGTGAGATTGTATGTTTATAAATTTTCTCAAGTCTAATAAATATTAGATTAGTTCCAGGCATATCACTATCTGCTATTTACAAATCTTATTTTCTTTACCAAGAAGGACTACTCATCATTCCCAAAGCATGGTCTGTGCTTTTCCTGGTTCTATGTATTTACCTTACTGGTGAGAACTAATTTACCTATTTCCCAATATTTCCTTAGAACTTTGTACTTCTCATAGTATGCACCACATTCTGCCTTGTCAACCCACAATTAGAGCTAATTGTGAATGTATCTTACGTTCTCTACTTGATTATAAGCCCTGTAAAGAGAAGGATGATGGGGGCAGCTAGGTGGTGCAGAGCACCAGCCCTGGAGTCAGGAGGACCTGAGTTCAAATCTGATCTCATACAAAACACTTGATATTTTACTAGCTGTGTGACCCTGGGCAAGTCACTTAACCCCAATTGCCTCATATTTAAAAAAAAGGGAAAAAAAAGAGAAGGATGATGACAAGTTCATCTCTTTAGCCCCCACAGTGCCTTGCTCAATAATTTCCACAAACCAGCTGTTTAATAAACAGTTTCTGAACTAAATTTATTGAAATTAATTCTGTACTGTAGACTCTGGGCTGTGTCGTAGTGGACACAGTAGGAAGGAGAAGGAAAAATTGGTAAAATTGATCCCAGGGGATCAGTTAATGGAGGAGAAATTACTTCTCATAGATTCCCCATGGTAGGTGGCAATAGAACTACCTAAAGTAAGTGGTAGTGATGTAGTAGGAGATTCTTATTTTAGAACTGGTTCCCTTTTTTTTTTCAAAAGAAGACTTCAAAGCAGGTAAAATTTGTCTTTGTGACTTCATAACCTCCTCTTCATATTTCATGTTCCTTCTCTTCAGGTACCCAGGGCATTACATTCCCCAAAATCTTTTCTGTTACAAACCTAAAGTGATCCAAAAAATTCTCAAAGTTTCAAGCCTTGATGTGTGAATGTTGCTGTATCCCTTTAGTATTTTTATTTTAAAAGTATTAAAGGGAGATAGAAATGGTTAAGGCAGAATAATGAAGTCTACTAATGGCAGAATTCTACTTTTCATTCACTACCTGTACGATCACTGACCAATCATTTACTTAAGCCTCCCTCAGCCTCAGCCTAGTGCTCCTCAAATATTCCATGTACTCCTACTTTAGTACATAGAAAACCTGCTCTGAATCCATATTATTTTTATCTATGAGATAGAAATACATTTCCTGACCTTTATATATTTATCCAATTCATCTAGCTTAGGGAAAAATGTCATTCAAAATCTGTAGCAAAACAGTCAAGAACAAAATTTCCTATTTTTCTCTTTTTAATGGTCATTCAAAGGGAAACTGTTCAAAGGGGAAATGGATACAACATGGGACTCATTCTTGTCCCTGTATCTTATCAACTAAAGAAGCAAAAAAGATGTATTTGCCAGACTATTCCTTATCTTCTCCGAGTAAAGAGAAGGCAACTGACGGCAATTGATACTACTTAATATTTTGTATTGTTACACATGCTAAGAAAGATACAAAGAAACTGCTCTTATTTTTATTCTCTGGTTACATTTTTAACATTCCAAATAATCTAATCTACAATGCGGGAGAAACATGTATATGATCCTTGACTACTCACCCATCCAGACTTCTCCAAATTGTCCAGCTCCAAGCTTCTTCACTAGCTTAATTGATTCACGTGGAATTTCCCAAGCATCTTTATCCCATGGTTTTTGTGGTTTTGGACAAATACATGGCTTCTCAAGCCTTCTGCACAAACCATCTGGCTGCTCTAAATTTTAAAGAAAAAAAATCATTAAAATAGTATTTTGCACTGCATCATATAACGGAAATTCTATATTTTATACTAAAAGTATTTACCTCAGATCTGCCCTAGTTTATAAATAATTATAGGCTTTACCTTGAAATAGATATTAATTTGGGACATTTCTAAATGAAAAGACAGGATTATTCTCTTGTTATTGTTTGAAGATATTTTTATTTGATAGCCTAATTTTATTTTGTTTTGCTGTGGGGGGGTACATGTATGCATGTGTGCAAATGCCATGTGTATTTGGCAGAAAGTGCTGAATGGAAGAAGGAATAATTCAAAAGGGAACAGAATCATTTAACCTAAGCTTCCACACAGGAAAAAAGAACAATTAAGAATATCTGTTGTCCAGAATATGACAAATAGTTAGATGGAATACCTATAGAAACTGACACTCTACGTGTGTGTATGGCAAATACTGAAAAAAGACAAAGAATTCAGCCCAGAATTAAACAATAAGAGAAGGAAACAATTTTGATTACTTTTAGAAAAGTGCAAGACTTAGCAACTGAATAGACAGTGAGATGAGGAAGATGAGATTGTGAAGATAAGTGATTATATAATTGGGTCCTCACCAAAAATAGGGAGCACACAGTGCATACCACAATGATGAACCCCAACAGTACAAAATATATGGTAATTTCTATCTTTTTTCTTTTAAAAGAGAATCTTAAAACTTCCCCTAACGCCTCCCAGGAAAAGAATCCTTTACATAAAACTCAATCAATGTGTGTCTTTTTCTGATCACTGAATTAGGACAGTATAATGTGTAAACATTAGTATTTCTTAATGATAGAAATATCCAGGATGCTAACTGATAGGTATTTGTATCCCAAGATACTTCTAGATCATCAATATCATTAGATTTTAAGAAATATTTGCATTTTTTAAAGACAACTAGCTAAGGATTAAAAAATAAAAAAGCATTTTATACTATTATTAAACATTAAAAATGCATGTTGTAGTATTTGTTGTCCTTACTTACTTTGATAATGCTTAATCATGTCACTGATTGAGGAAAAAGTGACTCTTGGAGATATGTAATAACCTCCATTGTCCAGACTTCGGATTTTGTAGTGCTTAATAACATCACCATGCAGTGGGTCATAATCTCGGACAGAAAGAGAGAAACTTCCTATGGAAAAATAAAGCAATGACTTTAGTTTAGGTTAAAGAATGGTTATAGATTTTCATTTTATATTATGTTATAGAAAATGAATGTTATTAAATATGATAAATAAAAACTAAGTTTAAAACTTTTCCTACTTCCCCTTTTAAAAAATGTAACTGTATTGATCTTTTATTTTTACATCATATATTTTCTCCAATATACTCCTCCTTCTTTCTCTCCTTGAGGTCAATCCCTCATAAAGAATTTTTAAAAACCCAGTTCATAAAAATAACTAACACATCAAAAAGAAAGTCTGACATTACATTCAGTATCTCACACTCATAGTTCCCCTGCCTCTGCAGAGAAGTTGGGGGAAATGCCTCATGCATGTTCTTTGGGGCAAATCTTGGTTATTATAATTGCATGGGATTCAGTTTTGATTGTTATTGTTTTTGTTTTTTTTCTCAATTACACCAGTGTAGTCATTGTACACATCGTTTTCCTGGTTCTGCTTATGTCACTTTAGACCATTCTTATGTCTTTCCATACTTCTGTGTAGTCATCATACTCATTTTCTCTTGGAGCAAAGTAATATTGCATTACATTGATGTCTCACAACATGTTTTGCTACTTCCTAGCCTGTGAGTGCCTACTTTGCTTCTAGTTCTTTTCTATTAAAAAGTGCTGTATAATATTTTCATATGCATATTGGGCTTTTTTAAACCTTTGATTTCTTTAAAGTATTTGCCTAGTAGTGGGCTCCCTAGGTCAAAGGGTTTGGAGAATTTAGCCTATTTCTTAGCATAAGTAAAAACTGTTTCCAACCAATCATCATATTTTAAGGTCTAGATATATATATTTTTTTATTTTTAAACTTTTTTTGGTGAGGCAATTGAGGTTAAGTGACTTGCCTAGAGTCACACAGCTAGTAAGTCTTATTTGTCTGAGGCCAGATTTTAACCCAGATCCTCCTGACTTCAGGGCTGATGCTCTATCCACTGCACCACCTAGCTGCCCCAGGTCTATATATTTTAAAATATTCTTTTTGAATATTTTAATATGCATTATCAAATATTATTATGCAATATTTAGTATATATTATTAACTTTTTTTTTAAAGAAACTTACCTAACATAGTATTTTCATTGTCTCATAATGGCCTTTTCTTTAAAAAAAAAGCCCTTGTTTTAAAATAAACGGAAATATTACTTTTTGATTTATTTTCTTTTAATAATAGTTAACCTTTGACTATAGACGGCTTTAATTTCTTCATCTGAAAACTGCCTGTTCATATCCTTTGACCATTTATCAATTGGGGAATGACTTGTATTCTTATAAATTTGGCTTAATTCTCTATATATGTTAGAAATGAGGCTTTAATCAGAGAGACTGCTTGTAAAAATTCTTTCCCAATTTTCTACTTTTCCTTCTAATCTTGGTTACATTGGCTTTGTTTGTGCAAAAACTTTTCAATTTAATGTAATCAAAATTATCCATTTTGCATTTTGTAATGTTCTCTATCTCCTGTTTGGTCATTAATTCTTCTGTTGTCCATAAATCTGATAGGTGAACTATTCCTTGCTCTCCCAGTTTACTTATAGTATCAGCCTTTATATCTAAATCATGAACCCATTTTGACTTTATTTTGATATATGGTGTGAGATTTTGGTCTATGCCTAGTTTCTGCCATACTCTTTTCCAGTTTTCCCAGCAGTTTTTGACAAACAGTGAGTTCTTATCCCAGAAGCTGGGGTCTTTGGGTTTATCAAACAGTATATTCCTATAGTCATTGACTGCTGTGTCTTGTATACTTAACCTATTCCACTGATCTACCACTCTGTTTCTTAGCCAGTACCAAGTAGTTTTGATGATTGATGCTTTATAATACAATTTAAGATCTGGAACAGCTAGGCCACCTTCCCCTGCAATTGTTTTCATAAGTTCCCTTGATATTATGGATATTTTGTTCTTCCAGATGAATCTTGTTATTATTTTTTCTAGCTCTATAAAATAATTTTTGGTAGTTTGATTGGTATGGCACTGAATAAGTAAATTAGTTTAGGTAGAATTGTCATTTTTATTATATTAGCTTGGTCTACCCACGAGCAACTGATGTTTTTCCAATTATTTAGATCTGACTTTATTTGTGAGGAAAGCATTTTATAATTGTGTTCATATAGTTCCTGGGTTTGTTTTGGTAGGTAGATTCCTAAATATTTTATAATGTCTAATACATTGTATTATATCTTATATATGTTTTTTCTAGATACTTATTATATTTATAATATTTTATAATGCTCTAAATCACTACTGATTAGAATAATGCAAATCAAAACAACTCTGAGGTACCACATCACACCCATCAGATTGGCCAACATAACAAAACAGGAAAATGATAAATGTTGGAGAAGATGTGGGAAAATTGGAACACTAATGCATTGTTGGTGGAATTGTAAAATGATCCAACCATTTTGGAGAGCAATTTGGAACTATCCCCAAAGGGCTATAAAAATGTGCATACCCTTAGACCCAGCAATAACACTTCTAGGGTTGTATCCCAAAGAGACAATAGAAATGGGAAAAGGACCCACATGTACAAAAATATTTCTAGCAGCTCTTTTTGTAGTGGCAAAGAATTGGAAATTGAGGGAATGCCCATCAACTGGGGAATGGCTGAATAAGTTGTGGTATATAATGTAATGGAATACTATTGTGCCATAAGAAATGATGAACAGGCAGACTTCAGAAAAACCTAAAAAGACTTGTATGGACTGATGCTGAGTGAAGTGAGCAGAACAAGGAGAACATTTTACACAGTAACAGCCACGTTGTGTGATGACTAACGTTGATAGACCTGGCTCTTCTCAGAAATGCAACGATGTAAGACATCACCAAAGGTCTCATGATGGAAAATGCTATCTGCATCCAAAGAAAGAACTATGGAGTGTGAATGCAGATCGAAGCATACTATTTGCTATTTTTTCTTTTCTTTTGTTTTGTTTTCTCTTTTTCTTGTGATTCCTCCTATCAGTTCTAATTCTTCCTTACAATATCACTAATGTGAAAATATGTTTAATAGGAATGTGTGTATTATATATATATATATCCTATATCAGACTGCATGCCATGTTGGGGAGGCAGGTGGGGAAGGAGAGGGGAAAAAATTTAAAACTCAAAAGCTTATGGAAGTGATTGTTGATAAATTAAATTAAGAAAAAAATAAAAAAAATAATAGCTAACATTTATACAGTACTTACTATAAAACAGGTATTATACTAAGCCCTTTATTATTCTCATTTGGTCCCCACATCAACCTTGAGAGTACATACTATTATTATCCCCATTTTACAGATGAGGAAACTGAAGCAAACAGTGGTTAAGTGACTTGTCCTGTGTCACACAGCTAACAAGTGTCTAATGCTGGATTTGAACTGAGCTCTTCCTGGCTACAGTCCCAGCACACTATCCGTTGTGCCACCTAGTTACCTTTATAAATGTATGAATGTTTGAAAAATATTTCAAAGCCTTACACATTGTAAGAAATGATCATCTTTATAAAAATGGCCTTTATTGTAATAGTGTGCACAACTATTTTTATAGCCCAAGTTAACCATTTAAAAATACTTTATTTTTTTTTGTGTAATTCTGAACTTGACAAATACCAGCAAATACAAGCATTTCCTAATACAAGAAGAGCAAAGATGATTGCACATGAGTAATCAAATCTCCATCATTTACAGCTGTTTTTAAAAAATTACATAATAAATTTGGCACCTGCTTGTCTCCTCTTGTCTCCTTGCTTTCCTTCTGAACCTCTTTCTCTTTTCTTCTGTGCACCTTTAAATGTATCATTGACATATTCCTTTTTTTTTTGTATCACTATCATTAGCCCTCTTTTCCACACCAATTCTCTATCCCTCCTCCCTCCCCTATTTTAAACCTTTTCTTGGAACCAAAAAGTACAGTTAAGCAAAGCAAGCCCACATTGATACGCTCCAAAAAATGTATTCCTGTCCTCAGAGTAACAACATAAAATCCTACTATTTCTATAATCTCCCAAATGTTAAATCCTTAAACTTTTGCTATCTGTTGACTTATTCTTCAAAAATAGTTTCAGTAAATTGCTTCAGGAATAATATTTTGTAAAACAAAATAAATGTGTCTCACCTTTTAAAGTTTCACTTTCTCGGATAAGAAATGATCCTGCACTATTCCCTGGTGCCAGAAGCTGTCTTTCAGCATCTTTCCGGGTTATATCCTTAAAGAACCATCTGAAAAGGAAATGTGAAAAAGTCTGTAGATGGTATTTCTTTGAGAAGCAGTGGCATAAATAAGGTAAAAATACAACAACAGGAAGTGCATCAGTTTTATGAAATTTTGGAAGAACTTACTCTTCTGTTTCCAAAGTGTTGACTTTTGCTACATAATTGCTAGGGATGAAGCCTTCTTTCTTGGTTAAAAGAGATCTAGCTTTCCACCATTCTCCATGCCTGGAACAAAAATATGTATAAAAGAATGTTAATATCAATCAGTCAAAAACTGGTTATTGTTCTTTATTGGCAAATTGAACCTAGAACTCCAAGATTTGAGTACAAACATCACTCTCCTCTTTCTTGAGTCCAAACATAGGTTGAGTACGGAGCATATATTGAGGACTAACTCAAAACCCTAAATGTGGGTCACTTTGTTTAGTGTTACACAAAGAACTTTTAATAGATCATGTTACCATATTTTAGAAACATAAATACATATGTGTGTACATACATACATATATATTGCTATTCAGATATAAATCAGTTATTTTTCTCAATTCACCTAAGAGAGAAGTTATCACTATTCTTGCGACAAATTTAAAAACAAAAGGAAAATGAGACATGAGCAAACGTCACACTTCCATGTTATATTAACTCTCTTATTAAACTACCTGGATTCTATAGCAATATTCACTATGGAAAATCTTGGAATAAAAAAATTACAATGTAATGAGTCATTTCCTCATTCTCCAGTTTTTACAAAGAAGTTATATATAGAGCTAGGCATATGTTATGTGTGTCTGTGTGAGGGGAAACAAAAAGATAATTAAGTTACGTGATTGGCCTGCTCTCCAAAATCATTTAGAAGTACAAAATGTTTACTCCTCAAATTCCTTGATGCCACTAGAGAATAGGAAAAGGAATCTTTAACCACAATACACATGAGGATGTTTATAATTTTCCCTCCTCAAATCTACTCAAAACTTGAAATGATAACATACGTATCCAAAGCATGTTGGTATGTGCTAGAGATAGCTAAGATTAAAATATATAGAATGTCTTATTCTCAGTTCAGAAGCTAGTCTTCTAAATAAATGAGATAGAGTAGAAGAAGAGGTTAGGGAAATAATGTGGAAAATGAGATACTGTGTATATAGCAAATATGTAATATTAATGCTGAGTATGGTCTTCACAAATAAGAGTAGCTGCTTTTAGAGTCTTATGTACTTTAGGCTCATAAAACCAAATTAAATTTTTAAAGTAAAAAAGCAGCATCTTTAAGTGCTTGGAGCCTACTTAGACACAAAAAATTTCTTGATTTGTAAAACAGGTCAAAAACAAATACATTTTTCTAAAAAGTGAGACTAGCCAGTAGAGTGTTCTAGCAGCCAAACTTGAAAGGCAAAAGTAGTTATTTTGACCTTGACCTATCTAAGCACCAAACTGTACCAGTAGCAAAGTTGTGAAGTTTCACTTTCACATGACAAGAATCAGATTAACACTGGGTTACTAGAAGGTAAAATCTGTGGATAAAATGGACAGGACTACAAGACTTTGATGGGTTTGGGAATCAAAAGCCAGAAGTTGCAATGTGTATATACTTACTCTTCAATGATTTTCAATTTTTCTCCTTTCTTGAAGGATAAATCATCAGGGTGAAGGCCATCATAGGGATATAAGGCTATTACCACAACCCCTTGATCTTCAGAATCTGTTAATGAATAACTCAAGTGAAAACACCTAAAGATAAACCCTCAGAAACATCGATCAAGTGCCCATTCTGTGCAGAACACTGAATCGAGAACTACAGACAAGTATTTTTAAGGGAATAAGACACGTGGCTCCTGCCCTTAAAGGATCAAGGAGTGGACAGTTTACAAGAATTCACAGAAAATACAAAAAAAAAATACACATGAAGACACAGATAAATATCATTAATTACAACAGCCTAGGGCATATACAAAAGCTAAGGGGAAGTTACTTTACAAAGGATATGAAAGTGTTTTAAAAACACATGGATGTTCTGATGAAAACATACCTGTCTTTTGAAACCTTTGTCCTGGTAAAAGTTGAGAATCTGGACTGAGCACCTACAAAGAGAATATGTGTTAAGCATCTCTGCACAGTAATGGTTTTTCTGGGTCATATCTGTGTTCCATATAATGCCTTTAATGCTAACAGTGGCAACTGGGATGTGAGTTTAATGCTTCCATAAATAAGAAAGGAGAGAAAAATGCAAGTAGAAATTCTGAAAAGCTATGCACAGGAATAGCTCTTGGGATTGGGCAGGACCATGGCAAGGCGTATGGGAAACTGTTAGGAGAGTAGATAAAGTACCAAATGGAGACTCTCACCAATGGGAAACTACCTTCTTGTGGTGTCAAGAACTCAAAGAGAAATGTTTAATGATCAACTCTGACCCATCACAGGTAGCAGTGGTATATTCTCTAGTTGTTTTAGTTTTCTTTGGATAGAAATGAAAAGGGTGGAACACAGGGAAGAGAAGGAATATGTACCTAGTCACTGTAAATTCTGATGATATATTCTTTTGCCACACAAAGGTGGCACAATGACTCAGGAAGCTCCTAGTACTTCTTGAAAGATAGATAGAATGAATGTAAAATGATCACAAATCCTGCAACTTTTTTACTCCATTGATCATCTGATTAAAGTGATTTAACATAAATGGTACAAAGTGTAGACTATGTTAAAAAAAAAAACTACCATAGATATCAACAGGCTGATGGAATTCTATCATGAATGCTAAGAGTGTTTTTTTAAACTGCCTATAATACTTAATTTAGTTTTAAGCATACTTTATCACTTTGAATCCATTTTATACTTAATTTCTTGATCACTAAGATTTGTAGAATTAATATAATGTTTGCTGTATAAGACTTAGAGAAAATAATCCAAAGACTAAAACCAGGACTAAAATCTTGAGAGTAGTAAATCATATCATACAGCCATTATCATTGAAAGAGTTTGCCTCTTTAAATGATTTTCAAATAGGTCATTAAATTATACTTTAAAAATAAGACATCCTTCATGTAATATACATTATTAGCTTTTGACATAATTTTTGACACTATTTTTATTAATCACAGAATAACATGTGTATACACTACTTAAAAAGTTATGAAGCCTTTACATTTATCATCTCACTTGATTCTCTCAACCTTATAAATAGGTCTCCAGTTATTATTGCCATTTTACAGATTAGGAAAACCTAGGCTCAGAGAGGTTAAATGATTTGTGTTAATCATACAATAAATGTCAGAGGTTATTTTCAAATCCAGGACCCCAAGTTTAAAACACTCTCCTTGATACAATGCTGTCCCATGAAATAATGTGCCTTTTTAAAAAACTGTCTTTCCAGTTGTGGCTAATAACTTTTAGTATTCATTTATGTTTTTGTTTGTCCATTTCCCCTTATGACCAATGGCATGTATTTTTATAATAATTGGTCTAGCTTCTAAGTAACTACTCTGGCCATCAATCAGAGCAGAGCTAACTGATAATAAAGGAATAGAAATCATGACCTTTACCCACATAGCCAAAGGTGCCAACTGAAATAAAATACTGCATTATACATTATGGAAAATAAACTTTCAACAATATTTAGCTACTTCTGATTTCTAAATCAAGTGATTTTTTTTACCTCTTTGTTAATGAAACTTTTAATAAAGTGACGCATGTTGTTTCTCCCTATTTAAAATTTAAATTAAGCACATTTTAATATTCTCCTTCACCTATTATTTGTTGTCCAACAAGATTGAAAATGAAAACATTTTCCATACCTGCAATTAAAAAGCACTTGATTTAAAACAGATTAAATTTATGGTGAACTGTGCTAAGGAAGAGGAATTTGATTTTGCATGGGAACTTTAGCGTCTCATAATGAGAGAAACAGGAATCATTCACTTTCCTCCCCATATTTCCTTGGCTTTCTATTTATAAAGAAAGTAATTTTTTTTGTTTCAAATACAATTCCCTGGTTAAGTCTGAGACTTTTACTCATACAAGAAATAATATAATTTTTAAAAAATCCAGGCATGCAATTGTTTAATTTTTGCACTCTCTCATCTCCCACCACATCTCAATTCAGTCACCCTTAACTTTCTTCTCAAAAAAGCCTTCCTTTAACTCATAAATCCTTAAAAAACTTATTTATATGTTTAGTACCTGAAGAATTACTAACTAAAATAAAAATGTTTACATTTTTATATATTGTAGGAGACAGGAAAGTACAGAAATGGTATGGTACTTCAAAATATTTTATACTGTAGAGATATTGTTTAAAATGTTGTTAGAGGTTAGGTACTGGATGGTCCTATTAAACCATGCTATGAAAGAGTATGTGATTGATTTTTTTTGGTGGGGAAAGGATATGAAGGGGAGGATACAGGAGGTTTAACATCAAGTACATTTAAGGTCACTATTACTCAATTTTTTTTCTTTCCCAAGAAATGTAAATTTGTTAGCCATGGTCTTCCTGGAATGAATGAAAATGAAACATCACCAATTCTATTGTTGTAAAAGTGTTTCTAGGGCATCCAGTACCAAAGAATGAATACATTTTAAAAAAATTATTATAAAGAAAGGATCTATAGTTTTCTTCACTGTACTAAAAATTAAGGTATTTCTTTCCTTGATTAGCTTGCATGGGTGGGAGAATACAAGGAAAAGATAGGAAGGAAAGAAGAGCTGGTAGGTAATATTTTAGATGTATTCTTTGTTGTAGTTTACATTTAAGGGCACTGTGCTAATCTCACTACATATTCTAATATAAACAGTTTTCCTTCATAGAATAGGAGATTCATTCTTGAGTTTGAAATTTTTCTTGCCACCAGTGATGTAAAAATAATTTTCTCAATATAAAAAAATAGAATGGTCATTACACAATAAATGGCCAGGTATCCATAAAGTTGTTTACATGCCTTTAGAATGGTTGAATTACAAAACAAAGTATTTGAGAACCAATCAATCATGATACATGCATATGTTCTCAATTGAATTTTAATTATGCCAGCCATGCTTGGATCTTGCTCTTGGAATTCTCCCCTGAGACTATCTACTTACTGGCCTTTGCTGTTTATTGGACGTTGGATCTCTCACATAAATAGTTCGGTCAGTATTACGTACTGGTTCAGTCTTCAAATCTATTCCATCGTGAGTTGAATTGTCTTTTCTTTTTGATTTTATACATCCCATATTTCCTGTTGGAACACAAAAGCATTTAACTTTTTACCATACTAGAAATGATTCTCACTTATTCATCACCTAAGCAATTAATGATATTATTAATTCATAATTCTCCATTTATATTATACCTGATCAATAAGGTTGTATATAGACACCATCAATAACATTGGTAAGAATGTAATTGCTTCATCTGTAGGGGGTTATCAAATAAGCAGAAAAGCAAATCCCAGGCCTCAAGAAGTACATAACAAAATTTAAAAGTAATTTCATTTAATAATAATTAAAGCTTTACCAGGAGCTTATTAAGAGGCAACATGACTTAATGGATGATGTATTGTGAGTTAAAAAGTTCTAGATTCAAATCCCAGCTCAAAGACTTACTAAATGTGTGACCCTGGGCAAGTCACTTAACCTCTGTTTCCTCATCTGTAAAATGGCAACAATAATCATACATACATCCCAGGGTTGTTGTGAGTATAAAATGAGATGATATTCGTAAAGTGCTTTGTAAAGCATAAAGCACTATATAAAAGCAAGTTATCATTATTGGTGAAAGGGGTTCCTATTCTAGAAGTTGCCTAGCTGTTAAATTACAGATTCCTGTTTCTGTTTCAGTTAAAAAGGTTATTTTGAAAATATTTCTGTTTTTTCATAATGGTGAATGATAGATATAGATGATATAAATTTTGGAGAATGACATTAAATTCACATACTCACTACTCTTAGAGATCATTTCATCTAATTCCCTCATTTTACAGATGAAAAATTGAGGCCCAGAGAAGTGAAGTAATTTGTAGGATGTCAATGAGACTTGGCAGAAATTGGGATTAGAATGCAAGTCTACCAATTTCTTCAACTGGCACTCTTTCCAGTATACAAGCCTGCCTCTCTTCTCAGATCTACATTGGACTTTTGTCCAGAAACCATTTAAAAAAAATAAGAATCTTGCCCTCCCCCAGATATTAGGGATTGCTAATCTTTATTAAAGTTATTATCACACTAAAAGTCACTTTTAAAAGGCTACCAGAAAGCTCTAGGACAAAGGAGTAAAAATAAGCATTCGATTTAATTCCTTTTCAATGAGTTACACACACACACACACACACACACTACTTGCCCTAAATGTTTATTTGTTCAATGAAGAAATCCTTCCATTGTGAAGGGAAAGGGAATGATACCTCTGGGGTTTTGATAGAAAATATATCTTTGGAACATCAATAAATATTAAGCATCTACTATGTGCCGGGCACATACTAAGCATTGGGGATACAAAGAAAGTTAAACAACAGCAACAACAATAAAAACCAGCCTCTGTTCTTAAGGATCTCACAGTCTATGAGAGAGGGAGACAAAATGCAAACAACTACACACAAACAAGCTATATATAGGATACATCACAGATAATCAACAGAGGGAAGGCACAAGAATTAATAAGTGGATCAGGAAAAGCTCCTTCTAGAATGGAGGATTTTATCTAGGGGGTCTGGAAAGAAACTGTTTGGTTTGAGGAACAGCAAGGAAAGTGTCACTAGATCAGAGTATGTGAGGAAGGGTGTAAGGTGTAAGAAGAATGGAAAGGTGGGGTATGTGTGTGCAGGTTATGAAAAACTTTTGAATGCCAGAGGGTTTTACACATTTGATTTTGGAGGTGATGGGAATTCACTAGATCTTATTTAGTAGGGATAAGTTCAGACCTATGCTTTAGGAACATCTCTTTGATAGCTAAGTGCAAAATAGAATGAAGTGGTGGAGACTTGTGTCAGGTAAACCGAGTAAGCAATTATAATAGTCTAAGGTGAAGCACCAGGGTGGTGGAAGTGTCAGAGGAGAGTAGGGAGCATATGAGAAATGTTATAAAGCTGAAATAGACAGAACTCGGCAATAGACTGGCTATGAGGTTTGAGAGTTAGGAGCTGAGGATGACACATAGGATGCAATTCTACCTTTAACAGAAATAGGGAAGTTTGGAAGGCTAGGGAATTAGGAGAAAAAATAATAAGTTCAGTTTTGGACTTGTTTAGTTTCAAAAGTCTACAAGACACCCTGTTTGAGATGTCTAATAGACAGCTGAAGAGATGAGACTAGAGATCAGCAAAGAGGTTAGGATTAGATAAGTAGATCTGAGAGTCACCAGTTCTTAGGAATGATAATTGAATTGATGATAAGATCACTTCACCACATCACCTACTTATGAAGCCTTTAAATTATTCATTTCTAATATTTGTGAAATTTATAGAGAAACAAAGAATGGAATGTTTCTTCTCTTATGCATCCCAATATGACTGAGCTTTGAGTACGTGACCAACTCGGAAAGTCCAAGAGCTTCTTCCTAATTTAAACCCTGAGGCTTCATCTCTTACTTCTAATGATAGAAGAAACTAAAGTCTTCCCCCCCCACCCCCTACACACACACCTAGGGATTGCCCTTTAATCTCAATTACTAAATGAGAAATAGCTAAAAACAAAACTATTGTCTTACCACAACTTCCTAATATTCAAAGATTGAGCCTTCCTAGCAATGACAACCATCTATCTCGTGCTCATTAGAAGCTCAGAAACTTCCCCTACTGTAAAGAGAGGTATGTAAAGTGGTTAATCACCCAAGAACCACAGAGTAAGTTTGATAACCTGCTCCAGATTTTTTTTTAAAAGAGCATAGAAGGAATTAGTAAAATTAGGCAAAAGAGCAGTGTGGGATAACTAGAACTGAATGATGATATTCCTAACTTAAAATGATCTTGAACTTCATTAATAGGAGTAAATGTTTCAGAGTTCCTGCAATGAAGTTATTTCTATATAATGCCACGTTGAGTTTTTGATTTTCTTCCTTTACCAGTTTGCATGACTCAGGCTTTGACTTTGCTTACCCAAACCAGAAAAAAAAAATTAGGTGTCCATGATTGTGTATATTTGTTTTCTATTATCCTCTTATTTCTGCCTAATGGAATATAAACCTCTAGACATTACTAATTTCCAATTTGCAGGCACACTGCCAATTAGAACTGCTAAGGACTTGCAAAGGATTCTCATATAAGGACAAGTTCCCCAAAACTTCCAGACAAACATAAGTGGGGAGAGTACTCAAGAAACTTTTAATGAGTATGCTAGACAGAAAGGTTACCTACAGAATCAGCCCTATCCCCAGCAGTCAAAAGTGTCCAGAAAAAAATGTTTTCTGATCACCAGGTCCACAGAGAATCACTATCACTATTTTCATTACCAATGGATGCTCTCAGGGATAAGAGGTAAGGTCAGGAATAATGGGAAGCAAGCTACCAGGGACTGGATACCTGGTATGAGAATCTGAAGGCTAAATCAGATAGTGATTGACTCATAGTTTTATTTTGGGAATTTCACACTTAATGCAGAGGCAGAATTTCTAGAGTGCTGGGCTTAGGGTCCAAAGATAATATTAATCATTATGATACTGAATTATCAAGTTCTGAATACTTTAATCTTTTTCTGACTTAAATATTTCCATCTTTTCTCTTGAGGAGGCAACATGGTACCATGGAACAAGAACCTACTCTGGACTCAGAGGAACTGCATTCAAATCCTTCCTCTGATGCTTATGAGTACAGCTTTGGGCTCACTTAACCTACCTGAGCCCCAGTTTCTACATCTGTAAAATGAAGGAGTTGGACTGTATGTCTTATAAGGTCCTTTCAAGTTCTAGATGAATGATTTTTGATCTTAAGTTTCTCATGCACTCTAAGAATGTGATTTGGACAGACTTCTTTTACTATATAGGAAACAAATTTATTACTGATATCATCTTACTCATCTTTGAATGCTGTTTAATCATTCTATGGGTGCGGTGTATTGAAGAGACTATTGGAAATAAATTAAAAAGATTATTCATTATGACTAGATTAGATTATACCAGAAACATAGGGTTAAATATCAAATAAACTGTAAATATAACCAAACATATTAATAACAAAAACAATAAAAATTACATGTTTATATTAATAAATGGAAAAAAGGTTTGACAAAATGCAACACTCATTTATTTTGGAAATGCTACTTAAAATCAAGAACTAACATTAATTATAATGGAGAAATGAGATGTCTACGGTCACTATTATTATTTGATAAAGTTCTAGAAATGATAGCTGGTATAAGAAAAAAATAAGTTAAAGCAATAAGCATTGGCAAAGATAACTTCAAAATATTTTTACTGGAAGATATCATAGTTTATTGAGAAACTTAGATATGCAATGAAAGAAATAGCTGAAAGAAGGAGTAATGTTAGTAAAGTAGTGGGATATAAAACAGATACACAAAATCAATCTTTAGATATATTACTAACAAACCCGAGCAAGAAATAGGAAAAATTCCATGTAAAACCATAAGATGCACAAAATATTGGGAACCATCCCACCAATACACACTCAAAACTTACATTACCATAATTATAAAACACTTTACATTAATAAAAGAATACAAGAAATTGGAAAAATATTCATTGCTTGTGTTTGGACTACAACAATAATAATAAATAATTAAATTACCTTACAGATTAAGTGCTATACCAAACTACTAAGGGATTTACTTTATAGACTTAGATAAAATCATAACAAACTACATCTGGACAAAATAAAAGATCAAGAATTTCAACAAAATTGATGGGTGGAAAAAGGAATGAATATGTCTAACATTACCACATCTCAAACTAGATGATAAGGCAATAACCAGTAAAACTACTTGGTCTGGATAAAAATTAGAAAAGTTGATCAGCTGATCAGACTAGAAAAGCAAGACCCCCAAAGTGATAGAACAGAGTTATCTAGTATTTGATAAACTCAAGGATACCAGCTATAGAAGTAAGGATTTGTAATTCAACAAACAGTGCTGGGAAAACTGAAAATGATGTTGGACAAAATTAGATTTAGACCAATGTCTTATGCTACTTAACCACAATAAACTCCAAATGAATATATGACTTAAATGTCACATTATTTGAAAAAATCAGAGAATGTAAAGTGGTACCTTGCAAAACTATATGCAGGTA